CTGGCTGGATGAGAGAGGGCACAGCTCCTCTCTCAAACTGGCTGGACAGCAGCCAAGTATTGGGGGTGGGGGAAGGAGAGAGATGCAGCCACATCACCCATTCTAAGGTTCCCCAGTAGGAGTGACATCAGAGGTAAATGGTGCTGGTGCCCTCTGTGGAGCAGGCTGCTAGCAATCACCATGGTTCCTACCAAGGCTGATACCAGTAGCTTCTGCTTTTCTTTGTTACTAGCATCTCTTGGCATCTTAAGCAGGCCAATATACCAGCAATACCTTCTATGTGAATATTATTCTTTTCTTTTTCCTCCACTGCATTGTTGCAGATGCTCCCTGGGATTTTATGGTGTGTAGATAGTTGTGTCTACTTGGTTTTAGGTGGGATGATGAAGCTGGTATCTCCTCTACCATCCTGATGATGTCATTCCTGAATAATTTTCAAATCTGTTCAATGATTACATTCAGGATAAATCAAATGTGGTATATATGCACAATAGAATATTACTCAGACATAAAGAAGAATGAAATTATAGTATTTGCAGATAAAYGGATGGAACTGGAGACTCTCATGCCAAGTGAAATAAGCCAATCCCAGAAAACCAAAGGCAGAATGTTCTCTATGATACATGGATGTGAACCCACAACAAGGAAGGATAGGAAGGGAAGAATAGAAATTGGATTAGACAAAGGGGAATGGAGGGAAGGAATGGGATTAGGAAAGACAATAGAATGAATCAGATATAACTTTCCTTTCTTCATGTATGAATACATGCTCAGTGAAAATCCACATCATGTACAACCACAAGAATGGGATCCTAATTGGAATGGGATGTACTCTGTGTATGTATAATCTGTCAACACATGCTCTATTGTCTTATGTATCTAAAAAGAACAAATTTTTTTAAATGATTGCATTCAAAAATGTGATACACATCTGCCGCAGTCCRGCTGCAGCAAAATAACCGGGGGAGTGACGAATAACTTGTGTACGTTGATACAGCAGGAGTGGAAGCCGTTTATTGTAGGACAGGAGCTGTATTTATACATTCCACACAGCTTATCTTAATTAGCATAAACTAGATACATCAGTCAACCAATAAGGAATCTCCACACTTAATGGCTCGCTTTTGTTACTTCTCAAACCACTCCCTCTGGCATTTTGCCAGGCACCATCCAGACTTGTTTACGAACTCTAACATTCCCCTGGCAAAATGCTAGGTGTTATTTTGACTTGTTTACAGACTCTAACAGACATCATTATCCAAAGTACATGTATGAAGACATGAATTGGTGTCAACATACTTCATATACAACCAGAGATATGAATGTGCTGTATATGTGTAATAAAATTGTAATGCATTCTGCTGTCATTTATTTTTAAAAAAATCAATTTAAAAAAAAAAGTGTCACTTACAGTAAAGATCAGAGTCCCAGGAGCCTGTGGGAGTCTACCAAGACATTCAGCCTTCTTTTCTGAATCTTCTCCTGCTTGTTTTCCCCAAGATAACTTTACACATGAAAAAAATGAAATGTATATCCTTGCCCAAAGGTTAAAGTGGAGCCACAGACCTGGCGCTATGATCTACAACAGCCAGAAGAGGGAAGTGAGGTGTATTAATAACAAGATAAAGGACATGGATAAAATAAGCACATACCAGTCCTCAAGGAACACTCCTTCCTGGTCTGTAGACCATGAAAGCACTCAGCTACGTGGATCTCAAACAGAAATCACTGCACGTTATCCTGAGTAATGTTCTTTCTTTGGCTCTATAGAAGGATTTCACGGGGCTGTTTCCTGTAATACACCTTTGTAGAGACTGATGCCTACGTGTCCTATGTGAGTGAGGAACGGACCCTCCTGAGGGGAAGGGAATGGGCAGTGAACCCAGGGGTACAGCATGGACCAGGCAAGTGCGCCAACTCTTGAACACCTGGGCATTGGGGGCCCCCAGTAGGTAGCACCTTCTGAGGGCCTCACCTGTTGGCTACTCCTTCATGCTCAGCACAAGGACGTGAAATATGACAGGGAACAAGCAACAAGGATGTTTGGTGTCCTACTCTTCCAATTTTGTGGGACTGATTTTTCACAATGCTTGGCGTGGTCTGTAAAAGGCAGTGCCCTGGAAATTGTTAGAGATGGTCCTGACTCTCTGTCTTGGAATACTGAGGACCACACAAGGGACTTGTTGTGAGCGTGTTAAGGAAGCTGTGGATTCATGCAGACCCCCACCTGCACAAGCTGCTCTCTTTATACTTCTCTAACCACACACCTGGAACCCTGTCTACACTGCACCTTTGGTAGTGAGGACAGAAACTGTGACAGTGTGGGAGGGGGCTAGGACAGGTGTGTGTGGGCTTGGAAACAGTGTCTGCTCTGGTCTGTGACAGACACACTCATTATCACTTATTAAGGAGATGCTCGTGGGGAAAGACAAGGATCTGCTGAGATCAAGTCCAGGGAGAAAGCAACGCCACGAGCCAAGGGCCCCAGGGGTAAGGAAGGTATGTGTCCCAGGGATGCAAAACTGGCTGCATGCAAAATTATCTTTCTAGTTTGGTTTTCTCACTYATGGAAACYCAATTGCTCAGAGAAYAGAGTAACAAYRTAACAATTAATTTAATGAGCATTCMTGAGAATTCAACCTCCCAGGCCCTGGAAATAGTAAATATGCCCCGAGATCCTCTCACCCACAGCTCAGCTCTTCCAGGAATGAGAGGCTTCACCTGGACCTTGAAGAGCACTCATGCCTGAGGCCACCTCCTGCCCTTCATCAGAACTGAGCTGACCCTCATCACCCAGGGAAGGAAGAGCAGGAGCTCACCAGCCCCAGGGCTGCTGATGTGAGAGCAGGTAGGAGGCAGCACAGGGCTAACAGAAGGAGACTTGGTGGCCCAAGAGGGGACATTGCAGTGAGGTGGGCCTCTCACTTAGAGCAGTCTGTGTGCTCAGCTCCTGAGTCTCTCTGCTTCTCTCCCTCCCAGCGTGGGTCCACTTCTCTCCTTTCCACTATCTGTCAAGAGTCATTTTCCTGTAACAACCATAAGTACCTTCGTTCTCCTTCATCAAACATTTCAAACACTTATTACCTCTTTTTCATTTTCCTTTATACATCTATAATACTGTCTCGCCTTTTCCCAGCAAAAGCACAACATTTTCCATGATATAATTAAGGCCTTACAGATCAAGGATATTAAATTTTGTCAGTTCCACAAATTATTCTGGCATCATATTTCCTCATTCACAATTTTTAATTTATAGATGCAATTACTGGTCTTTACTTCCCTTTTGTCTACAATAGACCTCATGTTTAGAAAGTAACTCTACAAATGTTAGATGTCTCCACGGATAAGTTCAGATGAGACATTTATGTTGTCCTCAGATAGTTGGTGTAGTCTCTTGTTCCATGTCTAATGTTTAAGATTTCTTCGAAAGTTAAAAAAAAAGTTATTTGATAATATAGAGATGGATTTAACATTGTATTTTCTAAAAAGTTAAATAGTCATTAAACACGTACTTGTATCTTTACAAATCCCCTCTCCAAAGTACTCAGAAATTTTAAAAATGATAGTGATTTTTACATTTATATATTCAATATGAAAAACGTTAATATGACAGGGAACATCACTTTACCATCATTTTTAGGGTTATCCCCTAAAAGGAAAGAAAGAAAAACAGAAATCCTAAATCACCCCACAAATTAAAACAAGATTTTGGAATTTAGAGCCAATAACATAAGATCTAGAAAATAAATAGTTGTCATAAATTATTGTTATTTGAAGAATACTATTTGAAGAATGTGGATAAATTTTTGGCAAACCATTAAGGTAAAATTTAACATTTTAGGAACAAGACACTTTTAAATACAGAAAAATCGAAAGCTTTAAGAATACCAAAAAAACAGCAGAGAGATAAGGTAGGTGCATGATGTTCTTAATGATATTGAAACTTTCACACTCTAAAACACTTTTAATAAGAAATAATTAGAACATATAACACAGTACATAAACATAAATATACAAAGTGAGCATGTCTTCAAGGCCATTTCCAGATGGTGCAATATTTTTTTATTTGTCCATGGACCTTTATTTTATTTAATTGTATGTGGTGCTAAGAATCGAATCCAGTGTCTCACACATGCTAGGTAAGTGCTCCACCATCCCCAAGGCTCTCAGGAACATCCAGACTCACAGCTAAGGGATCACCTTTGCTGAGCTACAGCCCCAGCCAGGTGCAATATTTCAATAGGATAAGAATCAGATGATGCAAAATGTCATAAGATTCATCCTTCCATTTAGAAACTCTAGGATTTCTATATTTAGAAATTCCATGGTGGTTGGATTTACACAGAGAAAGTAGTAATTAAAGGGAAATCTAGAAACTTATAATAGCAGTGGTTACCCATATTTTTTTAGCACAAGGAGTGCCCAAAGTCCAGAGGATGTGAGGTGCGGACATTACAGGAAGACAGCACCAAAGAGCCTTCTGATGGTCCCTAAATCTGTCTAGAGTTAGGGACTTCCCATTTCCACACGGTTGGGCAGGACCTACCAGAGCAGCCACCAGGATGCTGGGGAAGGGAGGACTGTGGAGGGACACAGCAGATGCTGGAGCTGTGGTCCACAAAAGAGCAAATGCATCACTGTGCAGAGAGACTTCTTAAAGYGCGGATGGCAGCTCCACACCAGGGCATTAGGTCCAGGTGATTCAGACGTGGAAATGCACATACCTAGGGAGTTCCCATGAGGCTGAGGTGGTTGTCCTACAGAGCATCTTTGGAGATAGCTGACCTTCAGCTTGTTTTCCTTTGTTTTATTTTATTTTGTTGCAGATTGCAATGGTAACTACAGCTTCTTATCAAAAAAATCAATGATTAGACAAAATGCATACTTTCTTAAATTTCCTGGATCCAAATAAAAGACAGTGGGGTAATCCTGCAGAGCACCTATTGGGAGCAAATTTTGAGTTCCTGTTCTCCCTCCTTCTCTGGAAACTCAGAAACAACATGGAAAGAGGAAACCAAACAGAAGCTGACAACTTCATCCTCCTGGGATTCACAGACGACCCTGACCTGCAGTCCCTCCTCTTTGGCCTTTTCCTGTCCATGTACCTGGTCACTGTGCTGGGGAACCTGCTCATCATCCTGGCCACCATCTCAGACTCCCACCTTCACACACCCATGTACTTCTTCCTCTCCAACCTGTCCCTGGCTGACATTGGCTTCACCTCCACCACCATCCCCAAGACTCTCAGGAACATCCACACTCACAGCAAAGGGATCACCTTTGCAGGCTGCGTCTCACAGATTTATTTTTTTGTTTTGTTTGGATGCCAGGATAATTTGCTCTTGACAGTGATGGCCTATGACCGCTTCTTGGCCATCTGTCACCCCCTGCACTACATGGTCATCATGAACCCACGGCTCTGTCTGCTCATGGCTCTGGGGTCCTGGTTGGTCAGTGTCCTGGGCTCCCTGCCAGAGACCTTGACTGTCTTGAGGCTGTCCTTTTGCACAAATGTGAAAATCCCTCACTTTTTCTGTGATCTTCCTGAGGTTCTGAAGCTCGCCTGCTCTGACACACTCATCAACAATGTAGTGGTGTACTCTGTGACCATCATCCTAGCTGTTTTCCCTCTCAGTGGCATCCTCCTCTCCTAYTCTCAGATTTTCTCCTCCATCCTGAGGATCTCATCAGACAGAGGCAAGTACAAAGCCTTCTCCACCTGTGGGTCTCACCTCCTGGTGGTCTCCTTGTTCTACGGCACTGGCCTTGGGGTCTACCTCAGTTCTGCTGCTRCACCATCCTCTAGGATGAGTCTCATGGCCTCAGTGCTCTACACCATGCTCACCCCCATGCTGAACCCTTTCATCTACAGTCTGAGGAACAGGGACATCAAGGTGGCTCTGGGGAGAGTCCTCAGAAAGATGGTGCCTCTCAACTAAGGGTCTTTTGCATGAACCTCTTGCTCAACGTTGTGCATRATTCTGAAGACCAGAGACCCTGGACCCCTTCATCCAATACTTACTCTACTTCTACTTTTAATTCGAACTTTTTTCTTGAATCTTCCTATTGGGTATTTCTGGCCCTGGTAACTATTCATAAATTTACATATTAGAACACCCTTTTCACTTTCTAACTGATAACCTTAACATTCTGTGATACAGTGTGGCATTTCCTCAGTCATGTGCACTAACGCCTAGAAGGTTGTTTTGAATTTTTATTAACACATAACAATTGGCATATTTATGAGTACAGTGTGATAATTTGACAAACTTAACTAATGTGTATGATCATATCTATGATTTTTTCCATCTCCTTAAATATTTCAAAATTGTTTGAGTTGAGAAGCATTGAGATACTCTTATTCTTTGTAAAATATACATAAAAATCTTTGGACTATAGTAACCCTTCAATGCTATAGAACTTTAAAAGTTATTGTCTCTGTCTACTTGTACCTGGGATCTCATTATTCAACCACCCCCAGCCCTTCCTTTCTCTCCTTCCTAGCCTCTTGCAACATCTACTCAGCTCTCCACTCCTGTGGAATCAACTTCATCAGTTTCTATGTTTGACCAAGAATATTCTATATTTATAGTTTTCTCATTAAATGTTACAGCTTTGCATAACCCCAGAAGTGGAGGCATGTACACCTACAGTATTTTGGAAATGTTGCCCTGATTGCATACTCATTTACAGAGAGGTTTTCTGAGATGGAGAAAATAAAACTAACTCACAGTGCTTCTGCTCTTGATCTGACTCATCTTCCTCTCAATCACACCAGTCAACTCTGTTGGATTTTCCTACTCACCACAATATGGATTCCTTGACTATCAGAATGATATCTTATCTACTTTTGCAACCAAGATGCCTAATGGAGTTCTTGGTAAAAAATTGATGCTCAGTAAATCTTTGTCAAATAAAAAGAAAATCATATGAGTGGGTGGTTAAATATCAAGTAGAATCTGGATAAAAACAAATTTATAAGTTTAATATTAGATTTTTTGAGCTAGAAAAGAAATTAAAAGTTGGTGATATTGATATTAATAATAACAACACTCTGGATGTKCCAGCAACTATTTCACTGTCTTATGCACATTGTCACATTGCTTTTTCCAGTAAGTCCTTTATGGGATGTATTAGTCCATTTTCCATTGCTGTAACAAAGGACCTGAAGCTGGGTACTTTATACAGTAGAGACAATAATATAGGTCCTGGTTTTAGAAGATGAAATCCTAATAGTACAGCCCTAGCTTTCAAGTGACTCTCTAGTTGTATCATTATGGTAGAAGTCATGGCCAAAGCATGTGCACAAAAAAGAGATCACATGGGAAGATAGAAGCCAGAGAGCCTGGAGGGGAATCTTGCTCTTTTATAGGACCAGAGTATCAGTAGAACTGCACTAATAACTCCTAAGGGCAACAACCCCAATGACCTAATTGCCCTGTACCGCACTCCACCTATTAACCACTCTGCCCCTGGCCAACATCACCACACTGAGGACCAAGTTTCCAACATATGAAGCTTAGGAAGACACACTTCAACCACACCCAAACCATAGCATGCAATCAGAAGCACTTTCTCCTGTGTTCAGATAAGGAAGTAAGAGTTACAGCAGCCAGGTCATTTGCTGAAGGTCACAGATGTGGTAATGAGACTAAACMCCAGGGATGGCTAAATGAGGAATCTTGCACAGGTGTGATCTTAGTTCTTTCAAGTGAAACTCTTTTAACAATAATAGTTAAGCCTTAGAGGAAGTGGGAGTCCTTTGACCTAAATTTCCACTTCCAGAATTCCACTTCCCAGTAAACACAGTTCTGTCTCTGGACACTGCAGCCTTAGAAATAAACCAAGCCCTAGAGAAAAGGTTTATTGACTCACCCGTCATTCAGTCCCGCATCCCTTAACGGTGGTGCTGTGTTCTGAGAAATGTGTTGTTAGTCTCATCTTTTTGCAGACACCACTGAGGGCTCTTACAGGAAGTGCAATGGCTACAGCGTCACTGGGACTGACAATGTCAGGAGAGACGACCTTCACGTGTGTGGTTAGTTGTTGTGGAAAACGTCACCATGCAGGATGAAACTGTATTTCCACTTCCTTTGAACCTAGTGAAGATGGGCACATTTTCACATTGGTGTTCATTCTTTGTCCTGCTTTATTGATGTGTAACTGACCAAGACACTGAATGCATTCAAGTCATACAATGTAAGTATGAGTAAACACATCGTGTTGTAATTTACTTCCACTTTTTCTTTCTCAATTTGCAGCTTACCTGCTTGGATCAGTCACGATACTAGAGATTTTTTGTCTAATTGTCATAAAACAATTTGATACGTCTGCATTGTATTGTAATGCACAATATGTTCTAAATATGTTCCTTAGATAACCATTTGTTCTGTTCGTATTTTTCTTTATTCATTTAACTACATGTGCTTAACATGCTTGAATCCATCGATTGTGTTGTTAGTTCTATTGCTTTTGTTTCTCCTCCTTCTGGGTTTATGCTCAGAGGGTTGATTCTTACTCTATTGTAGAAGTTAACTGGTACTTCAGATTTCCCTCCAGCTTCATTTGATTATGATGCGTTAAGATGAGAACTCACTTGATTTTACTTCCAATAATTAATTTATGATCCAAACATCCAAACACCATTTATTTCAAATTCCTTTCTTCCTGCATTGATTTAGACACCACTCTTTATAGTAGCTTCTCATCTTATTGGACTGCTATTTTATTATTCTGGTACAGTGATCTCTCTATTTAGTTCTAAGCCAAGTTCACAATACCTGGATGAATACAGATTTTATTTTTTTCATAAAGAGAAGGACAAATTTACCTCTTTACTTCTCTTTTTTAAAATGGCCTTGCCTGGTTACTCTTTGTGGGAAACATGGCTGAGCTGCCCTTCTGATATTTGTGCTCTTCTTTTGGCTTAAGAGCAGAATGTGAGTTTGCTTGCWGTGGTGAGGATGGATCCCACCTTAAAGGCCAACAGAAGCCCTATCACGTCTCTTCATTTCCTGTTGCTGAGGGAACGATTACAACAAGCGTGATAGCTGAAGAACACCAATTCATCAACTCACATTTCAGGAGACCCAAGTCCAAAATGCATCTCACGGTAGTAAAATGGAGGTGCTGCAGGGCTGTGCCCTTCAGAGGCTCTGAGGAGGAACCCCCTCTCCTCTCCTTTGCTGACTTCCAGAGGCCGCCCACGTGCCTGGGCTCACTGCCTTCTCCATCTTCACAGCCAGCCGTGGCTGATGAACCCCACTCATCACAACCCTCAGGCACCCACTTCCCTGCCTCCCTTTGTATATCGAAGGATCCTGTGGTTACCGTGACTCGGCCAGATCATTCAAGATCCTCTCCATTATAAGATTTAATTCCTTTTTTCTCTGAAGCCTAATAGAGTCACCGTTTCCAGGAATCAGGACAAGAGCCTCTTTGCAAGGTCGTTATTCCAGCTGCCTTGTTATCCAACACACTTCCACCCAGAGTCCTGTAAGCTGAAACACGTTAGGTGGAGCTTCTAGGAAGAGAAGTGTTTTCCTCATTTGAAAAATAAAATGATACACGCACACACACAATGTTGAACTCAAGAAGCCAAACACACACATACAAAACAACCACACACTGTAGATTTCATTACAGAAAGTTTGTTTTTAAGAGAGAGAAGAGAGAGAGAGAGAGAGAGAGAGATTTTTTTAAATTTTATTTTTCAATTTTCGGCAGACACAACATCTTCATTTTTTATTTTATGTAATGCTGAGGATCAAACCCTAGTGCCCCGTACATGCCAGGTGAGTGCATTACTGCTTGAGCCACATCCCCAGCCCACAGAAAATTTTTTAATAGCAAAGAATAATCCATAATAAGACCACCGTGAAGCCGCTCTCCTTCCTCGATGCTTTCAGGAGGAACTTTCAGGTTAGAGCAGCTGAGGCCATGAAGCGACCAGACTTGAGACCAGGTTTGTACACAATTCAGGCAAGACACTCCTTGACTTGGAGATGGTGTCAACAAAAATGCCAAATTTTTGTTGATTGGGTCAATGGGCCAAAAAACAGCTGATTTCTTCACCTCTGMTGAGGTTTTTGCAGGACACATACAGGAAATGCAAAGAATAGGAAAGTCAGCTCTTTCTTTTTCCTGTTTCTCTTCATTGAGGGAGGCTATACAGGAGCCAGCTTCTAATTAATTATTACTATCTAACAATTAATAGTGACCCTATGAAGACATGCTGTTACCATCGCCCTTATTTTACAGGTCAGGGAACAGGCCCAGGGACCTGATAATAATCACAAAGTCAGCATCTAAATTAGGGGTAAAGTTACCCTCAGACCCTTGTGAACAGTTRCCTCATAATCTCAGACAAAAATAAGCTGGCCATAGAGGAAACCCTCAGTATCATTTCAGTCACAGCCACGAGGTCTAATGAAAAACAGGAGCCCCAAATCTGCAGAGGCTGCTGACCACCTTGGCCCCAGGAAGTGACTGGAATTGTGTCCTTTTCCCTCCTATCTTTGTTTAAATAACACCATTGTCCAAGGTGCCAATCATACAGAACAGTGTTATCCAATGCACAATGGTAGTCTGCCTTTAAGTGGTTAAAAAAGAATAATTAAAGTAAATAAAATTGTAGTAAGTCAGCTCCTTCTTCATGCTAGGCACATACCAAGTGCAAGTACTCAGTAACTTGAGTGACAAGTGGCCACCACCTTGGGCAACACCAACAGAACATCTGTACCATTGCAGAAAGTTCCATCAGTCATTGACACACTAGTTTTTACAATGCAAACACCTGCTCCTATCGGGTTGTGAGGATTGTTGCAGGTTATGGTGCAGCTATTCTGGCAACTAGGAGGGTGTTTCTGCATGATGCCTATACAGCTCTGTCACCTGAGGCCAGAGTTGACAAAGATGCAGGGTGCTRTGTAAGGCCACA